TCCTATCATGTCCGTCAGACTGAGAACAACAGAGTTATCAACTACAACTGCGTACGACTCAAAGAATCACAAGTAAGTGGTGCCCTACCGGAAGGACATAGAGCATCCATTTGCAGTCGGACCACGTGAAAGGCTGCGGCTCCCGGCGTGCTCCTGAAAGTAGTTCCCTACGCTCTGTCATACCGAAACTTTCCCACTTCTCTGCTTCCGCTCAGTGGTATCTCCCGAGGCTGATATCTCATCCTCGGACTCCGATACTAGGGGCTCCTAAAGTGATATACAATGGTACTACCAGCAGCTTGGCAATACTACAATACTAGGTGAGAAATACGTAACTCCCGTGGGCGGAATAATACAGTACGTGAGATGATAATGATGATGATAAAAAATACTCACATTATCATCGGACGGCTCTTGAGACCCCTCCTGCCCTAGTTTGGTGTCTTCCTTCTCTTTGACTCGCCTCGATGCTCCATGAAGCCTCTCCTTCTCCTTCTGACGTAGTCTCCTCTGCTTACTCTTACTCATCTTCTTAGGCCCTTCCTCTACAAACTCTTCAACTCCATCATTTATACTGATAACAGCATACAACTCTGTGCAGAAACCAATACTCACTCTCTCAGTGAAAATGCGACAATTTCACACGGAAAAAACCAAGTCCGTCACCTTGTTCTTCTCGCCGAGTACTACCCTGTCCCTTCCTCCTCTACCGCATGCCCCTCCACAGTCGCCTCGTCATCCTCATCACTGACGAGCTGAAGTCCCCCAGCATCATCCACCATCACGAAGCTCGATTCGGAGACACTCTCATCTCCACCCCTGAGACGAAATTCTCCGCAGTGTCGCAAAGGCCCTTCTCTACCCGTCAGTCGTGAGCTTTTGTTCTTCTCCCTCGAGAGCATTGGTTTTCTAAAAAGTTAGATGTTGCGTCAATCCAATGGCCGTCTCCTCGGTGGAAGACATCTCGGGTGGAATTCACCCGGTGAATGCAACAGGAACCTACCCTTTTCTCCTTCCTATTCTTCCGACTCTTCACTCTATCACTCGGAGGTTGCACAATGTCGACTCCTGCATCATGTACCTCGCCTGCCGAAACGCAGATTCTCTTCATTTCACTTACAGCAAATATGCGAACCGCATTCAACTCCAATATGAGCGGATCGATTCTATTACCTTCGCGCCGCGC